TATACTACGTACACTACTACTACTACTACACACACACACACACACACACACACACACACATACACACACACACACATATATATATATTTGATACTACATATGCTATGTTCCTTCAATACCGATACATAAACTCTTGGTCCGGTATAAATTCATAGACGTGTACGAATATATGCAAAATGTTTATTTTTCTTCTCACGTGTATCCCTCCAACTACGATACAGGAACATGTGTCACAATCTCAAAGGCGCGAGATTGGACTGTCACAGGGCAGGGCTGCAGAGGGCAACTACACTCCAGACGAGGACAGACAGCGACTGCTCGGCATAGCAGCCCACGTATCATCCCAGCCCGTATGTGACTTAACCGCACGTGTGATAGCAAAATACTTATTCTCAACATGGTATTGTGCGTGCGTGAGTGTGACCACAAACGTATCATCTCAACCCGTATGCCATCAAACCACACGTGCATATAGAAGTAGAATAATATAACCCCAACTCGATATTACCTGTCTAGTAGCATGTACATTAACGTAGCGCGTATGTCACATATACGATCGACATAAAATTCTGAATATACCATCTTAACTTGAATGTAGCAACATACTATCTGAGCATGAATTTCATCAATTTAGGCGTACATATGATCACAAACATACTACTAGATAACATTTGCCGCCTATCTGTGTGTGTGCGAGTGACTGCAAACTATACTCCCAGCTCGTATTCAACCTATCCCTCGGCAGACATATATCCATAACACGTATGCCAACTATGTGCGTGGTATATAGAGGCGAACATAACATCTAAAAGTATATGTTGCCTATCTACACCATATAAATAGAATATCATCACGAATGTCACATATCCTCGCGTACACACGGCTGTGGTATGTGATTCTTCTTACTCAGATTGGGTTCGTGCTTTAACATACATACACCAGATGAATACATATCAGAGCTTCTCGATTTGGTCACATCCGTTGGTAGGTATTGCTGGGAGGTAAACACTCCAGTTGTTCTGGTAGAACAAATCGATTATTCGGGTAGAAAAACACTTCAATTCAGGTTGATTTTGCGGATTGATATACATACAGATGCCCGATATGGACACCATGTTGGAGGGCATATTCTCCGATTCAGACATAGAAGAGGAAGCAGAGGACGACGAAGAAGATAATTCGACTGAGTCAATGGAAGACACAACTACTAGTGCGCTTGAAGGTGTAGTGGATACAGACACACACAATGGTATTGTGGAAGCAGAGGGCTCAGCAGAAGCCGCTGGTGAGACAGGAGTGGACGGTATAGTCATAGAATGTGACACTAAAGAGGGCCGAGATCCGACATACGACACCCGACAGCAAAGAGAGAGAACCCACACAAGGGTAGTGGTAGAAAACCCAAAATACGACAAGAAGGCGATGGAAAGCGCCACCTCCACAGACGTGAGACTGTCGTATCACACTACACAAAGCACTGGAAAGGATCAAACGACCGCTGGATGTGACGAAGAGACTATGAGAGATACGGACAACACTGCACATGCTACCAGGAGTGATACAACGAACGCTGGAGAGAATGCAACTGACGCTGGAGAGACTGTATGCAGCACTACAAAGCGAAGGCGAGGCGAGCAAGACAATGAGCTGTACCTCGATCAGGTGTCAAGCACATGCCAGAAGTCGCATGTGAAGCATGTGGCGGGTGTGGATGCGATAGAGACGGCAGTGGAGAGTTTAGATGCACACACTGGGATATATGTACAAGCGCAGGACGCTGCACAACCGACAGCTAGTACGATTGATGCAACGCGAATGGCTGCAGCGAGCGAGAATAGCGGGAAGGACACCGATACGGCCATGGAAAGAGCGTTACCTGGCACGGACAAGGCTGGAGACACTCATGTAAGCGACAGTGCAGTGGATGCGCGAGTTAATCATAGCAAGGTAGTAGAGAGTGCGTATGGTAGTCATAGCCAGGTAGTAGAGAGTGTGTATGAAAGTCATAGCAAGGTAGTAGGGAGTGTGCATGCGGCTCGGAAGGGGGAACTCACAGATGTACCGAGTACGGGAGGTGTGTCAGAGGGAACGCAGACAGTGGCCAGTCATAGCGTAGGCGAGGGTACAAGAGGAAGGGAAACGAAACGAGAATTCGAATTTAAAGAGAAAAGGGTGTGGGAAAATAATGGGCAGCCGGAAAGTGAGCAGATGTGGGAAGATAAGCTGATAGGCAAACAGCAGCCACCAGTGATACTTCAGCGGTGGGCGGCGGCGAAAAAGAAGCGCCAATTAAGGGTCGGATCTCTGAGAATGTCCAAAAGTCGGTCGCTGTGGAAGAGTTCGTCGCTTCGATTGACTGTCCCAAGGTATCACTTATCATGTATGCTTGAAATTTTGTTATACACACACACACACACA